CGGCCCCGCCACCTTTTCATCTCGCACCTGGTTCCCTTCCCCCTTCATCAAACACCTCGAACTCCTCCTTCTCCTCCTCCTCTCCCTCCTCTCCTCTACTCTCCTCTTCTTCTTCTCCTCCTCTTCCTCTCCATCAAACCTGGAACACGCTTCCATGTTCCTTCATCTGTTCATCTACTCCTCCGCTGCTCTCGCGGCCGATCTCCTCCCGTCCCCTTCCTCCTCCACTATCGTCGGCACCCTCGCCGCCTCTGCTTTCGCTCAAGAGCTTCTTCTCCTTCACTTCCACTCCATCGATCATTCGGGGCTCGAGGGACACTACCATAGCCTTATGGAGATTGTTGTGGCCACCTGTTTGGTGTCGACGGCGGCGACTGTGTGGTTTCCGGCGAGTTATGTGGCAGCGGTGGTGAGGTCTGCGGCGGTGGCGCTACAGGGGATGTGGTTTGTGTGTATGGGATTGGTGTTATGGGGCCCGAAGAGGCTTTTACCGGCGGGTTGCGCGGTTAACGAAAGGGCGTTGTTGTGTGCTGATGGGGGAGCGGCGGCGTCGGCCGCGGCGGCGGCGAATGTGCAGTTTAGTTGGATGGTGGCAGGGGTGGCGGCGATTACGGCAGCCATTTGTTTGGTGCCGGAGGGGAAGGAGGTTGAGTATAGGAAGCTGGGAAACGTCGGGAGGAACCCTGGTGAGGGCGACGGCGGCGGTGGGGTGAAGATTGGCCAAGCCTCTTGCTTGATTTGTCTTGAAAAAGGAGCGGCAGACGAGAGAGGGAGAGCGATAAAAGGCTCGTGGAAGTAATTTAATGGGATAACTATATATGACCGTTTGCGGCAAATTTCATTTTTTGCTTCATAGGATTGGTGGCATGCTAATTAAGATCAAATATTAAGGATCAGTGTTGTAATGCACGACAGTTAATAGACTAAAAAAATTGACGTAAAATCGATATTTATCTTGTTTAAACATGAACTGGATGTAATATCAGCGGCGGAACTTTTTTATATATTTTTTAAACGGGAACATATAAAAATTGGGTATAC